CGACGAGTTGAATTTGTTACGACGTTACGCGATTCTTCGATCGAGAGGGAGAGTTCCGCTCTTGTCTGACACTTTTTCGCTGTGACTATAGGTGAATCGAATTGTCGCCGTACTGAAGGCGGAAAGAAAAGAGGCAGGGCTGATTCGATCTTCCGCGTGGAGGACTTATACGGCCGTGTTGTTGCATACGAAAGAGGGGGAGAAAAGTAGCAGGTCGAAGGGGGTTAAATCGATGGTGAAATCTTGCTTTCTCTCTCCGTCGACGGGAAAGAGAAATGGGAGGCTGCTCTTGACGATTTGCTCTGCCGCAATCGAGAGAGAGAGAGAGAGAACATCCGAAACTTGGAATCGGTCTCCGGCCGCCCTCCTCGCAAATTCGCCAGGTAATTCGATTATATCCGCGCAGCTCGTTCTGCGAGAGAGTCGCGATCGATAATACCCGCGTTTCGCGTCGGATCCTGCCAGTATCCGATTCTCGGCAGTCGCAAGATATCAGTTTTCGTTGCGCGTATTTCGACGAAGGTTTCGAAGAGAAGAAGAGAAGGGATTGAACGGTCGCACGATCTGCACGTTATAAATACCAATACACATTTCGTAATCGTTTACGGTAAACTGGACATAATAGTTAATACTATAAGCGTAGGTATTATTTTCCGCAACATGATGTGCAATGATTAATGAATAAATATCTGTGCGCATCGAATATTATAGATAATTTAGGCAGGTACACATCTAGGACAATATCTTTGATCTCACACAAATGTTAAACAAATTCTATTTATTTTCTAGTTCTCTTTGAGTTATAATTCAAAATGATTTTTTGCCCGATAATTTGATTAGACATGGAAATGATTGACTATTAGATATAAAGGAATGAGAGTCGAGCTTGCGTTTGGACATGGTGAAAGAACGCCGCGAGAAAAAGATATGGATATACCGCACGTGGTGGCCACTCGCCATGGCTATCATTAAGATATATTTTGTTCGGATCGCTGGCGTTACATGGAAATGCATTTTATCGATACTGTAACGGCATTCCGGGACAGATAATCCAATTAAAAATTACATGTACACGAAGATAGACTCGTTGCTCTTATATCGTGAGTCGTAGAAAGGGAGCCTGTACGATCTTGAAGCAGATACAGTGCAACAGACACGCTGCGTTGAGTGTGTTCGGCGTTCTAAAATCGTTTTACTCAGAAACGAGTGTGATTAGTTTCCATCTTAGGCGTTAATTGTTACCGCGAGATTACTTAACTTTTAAACTCGCTCTGCGATACAATCGCGATAAAAAGGCATGCTAAAAATATGCGAACCGCATGCAATTCTTAAACAATAAAACAACAAAGTAAACGAATATGTGCAGCCGTTTGTATAAAATTTGCGCTTTCATGCTTTCTCATTCTATCAAACGGTAAAGAAACAAATAAAATGATTGATTGTACCAATAGAGTGACAACTGTGAAAAAGAAAATACAATAAAGTTCCAATAATAATTTAAGTTTTACGATTGAAATCGACACAAAAGAAAATCCTAAAGTGAGAATCAAGGTTATCATAATTATCTACTTATATTTTTACTAATGTATCGGATTCGCGAAAATTAGCGTATTCTATCGAAGATGAATTAAAAACGTACGTATCTTAGTTAATTTCAAAACGTGGATGACCACACAGTCCACACGTTGTTTCGATTTTCGATATTTTTTCGCGAGATCACATCGAATTGTAAGTTGTAAAAACGCGACAGATGAACGAATCGAACAGATAGTCTCGCTGCTGACTTGCGTGTGCCTAAAAGTCCAGGGGCGTGTAGATAGCGCGCGACGTACCTGAGAGAGTAATCACGCATAGTACCTACCTGGCTGCTGGCATAGCCGATCGATTACCGTATAGCCGCGCGGTGCACACGCCTGCCTGCCGCCACGTACCGCAACTACGTGACAAATATTATCGCGATCGACCGACCCGCTGCGTTTGATGTGGACGCGTTTATGAAATGCCGACACGCCGATAATCATGCGCGCGACCAGCGCCCAAGGCTAAATCCGATTTGTAATATTAATCTCAGCGTTGCGCCTCGCATCTCTTTCTCTCCTCTTGCCTCTTCATATCCTCTCTCTCTCTCTCTCTCTCTTTCTAATTCGACATTTTTCAACTTTGAAATACTAGACTCACGTAAAATGTGTTTTGTAAATTACGTTTTTTCTGTTTAATTATTTCGACACGAACGAATATCAATTATATATTTTCAAGTTTCAATTGATGTTAATAATAAAACGAATGTCAATGGATAATTCTACATATGTTAACAACACTACGTATTACGCGTGTAAGCATTCAAGATACAAAGTTTATTTTCGCTTTGTCTGAATAAAATTAGTCACGCGGGTGCGACGCTAGACGGGAAATGGGTTTGATTAATCGCGAGTATAATTCACCGGAAGCGTTGTTTTTCCGATTGGGATCGTTCTGATTACAGCGCCATAGGATCGGGTGTCAACGATCTACGTTTAGCGCACGCGATAAACAGCCTGAACAAACACCGGTGAAAAGGCCGCGCTTTTAACTCCGGAGCGCAGAAACAAATCTGCGTCTCTTTGTGGACTAACTTGTTTCGCGCGAACTAGCAGAAGCGTTCTCCAAACACCAAACACGCCGGGCGCCATTATGCGGCCAAATGGATTGGTATATTTAGTTGACTTTGGCCCGTATTCAGATCTCGCGCTCCCAAGATCTTCAGCAGCTGGTTGTCGTTGATGTATATACGGCGTCTTGGATTTACCCAGTGACATTTAGTATCTGCTCGATAATTGTCACGCTCGCGGTATATATTTCTTCAGACTCGTCAGTTGTAACACTTGTAACATTAGCAGACATTACATCGTTCCTACAAACTTTGATGCGAGTTGAAAAAGAAAAATACTGAGCGGATTTTTAAGTGAGATAAAGGGGTTTGGAGATGTGTACTTGAGGCAGCAAAACGTTCGTGCCTCTACGTGGTGCTCCCACAGAAATTTGTCTGCCTGACGGGGGTTAGTGTGTCCTCGGAGACGAAGCCGACTCCGGCTTTTGCTTATCTTATCGCCGTCGACAGGCGCAGGTACAGTCTCGGACCGCGTGTCGGTGTAAGTACGATGAGACGCAAATGTGATGACGAGCTGTGGCAGAGACACGCGTGGACGCTCAAACGAGGAGGCGACTGTACGTATCTCTCATCTCGTTGTGCCCCCTCTGTCTCGTTTCCGCCGCCGTTGCCACCACCGCCACCACCACCACCACCACTCGTACTCGGCCGCGCGTTCCTGTTATCTCGCTTCGACTTCCCTCGCTCCCCCGCTGCCTCGTCCCCTCCCCCGCGTGGCGTGCCAACCAACGAGTCGGGGCCGCTTTCGCTTTGTGCGCGCCGGGGCGGCGGTACATCAAAGCCTTCTAGTTCCCGCTCCGGCCTTTGACGGTCGCGTCGCGGCCGCTCGCTCAGTCATCGCTCGGTTGTAGGCGATGCCGGGGCGCCGTAGATGAGCGGATCGCGCGCGCGCGCGCGCGCTCTCTCTCTCCTGCACGATGAGCGCGGGCTCCCCGAGGTCAGCTCCGCGAGTTCGCCGTTCGCCACGTCCGTCGAGTGATCCGGATTCGCGATACGACGACGAGTCGATTTCCGTTTGACACTCGCCAAACGCGTATGTACTCGTGTAATTTCGAGGCGATCGCGAATGCGTTTGGATTGTGCGATGCCGTCTCGCGGCGGCAAGTGCGCGCGTGTCAGCAAAGTGGCCACCAAGGGGCGCCAAGTGCGCGCTCAGCACGTCTCTCTGGATCCTGTGGAAACCGAGGGAACAACTACGGCGACGGCGACGGCGACGGCGATGGCGACGGTGACGGCGATGGCGATGGCGACGGCGACAACAGAGACAACCACAGCGACGATAACAACGGTGACGACGACGACGACGACAACGACGACGATGACGACGACGATGACGACGACGACAACAATAACGACGACGACGACGACGACGGTGACGTCAAGCGGAACAGCAGTCGCGGTAACGAGAATGGACAAGCCCGTGTTAACGACGGCGTGCAACGAGGGTCGATCGCTGTGGACCGGGCGCATGCGCCAGTCCCTGGAGAGCAGCTCCGAGCCAGCCCGTGAAAACGGTACCCCCCCGGTGCATCGTTATCCGGAAAGGCAGCGACGGCGAGAGAGACACACCGCGGGGAGGAAGCATCGACCGGTGAAAGATACCGAGAAGGCCATCGCCGGCACCTCATGCTCCTCGACATCGTTGTCGTCGCCGCCGGCGCTTTCCTCGCCGTCTTCTTGCGCATCTTCGCGCCGCTCGAGCTCTCCGCCGTCGAGCACCTCGTCGCCAGCGCGATCCTCCACTTCGTCGGTCACGAGCGATCCATTGGCGATCAAGCTAGCGGCCAGAAGCAGGCGAGGAAGCACTCCGGATCACAGCGACGACGGGATTGGGAAGCGGAGCCAGAACACTGCGGGGACAAGACGGGACAATGGCGGGACGACTCATGGACCGATGGAAACGACGACGTCAGTGTCGACCTCCTCCTCGACCACTGTGTCTTCCTCGTCGCCATTTCCTTCCCCCATGTCCACGTCCTCCGCGTCTTGCCGGACGGCGACGACGCCGCGCGGCCACGGTGGCGATCACGGCACCGCGCACGTCTCGTCCTCTTCGTCCGCCCTTGAAAGGCTGAGAAGTGCCCTGGAGAACTACGACCGTAGTCGAATTTACCTCGCCCACGTTTGCTACTTGGATTGGCGGGATCTGCCGGGTAAACGGCGTGGCAGCGGCAGCGGC